TTTCCCTATGAAGATGCCAAACAGATGCTTCTACATACAAACAGAAGTTTTCTAGTCATGCTGGTAGCTTTTCATCCTTGATCTATTGAATTTATATACACACACTAAAAGATCACTGCATTATATTTCAGTAATTCAACCCTTAATTTCCTTTGAGCAGCCTGAAATAAATGCTTTAACTGTACAATTGTAATATAATCCTCTTGAGGACAACAGCTGTGTCCGGGAGGTGCTAGTGACTGTTAAGTAGCAGGCACTTTCACAAAAAGAACTTAGCGTTATTCCACACCAGGTGACAGTTGTCTTCTTTGCTTTTTGGGACGTGTACTGACTACTTACCTTGCTGAGATGGGTCATATCACACTCTCTCATATAGAACATATATATAAAGAGTGATTTCAGCACCAACTACTTCTTAACTAATGAAAGACGACAGAAGAATTGTGGTGACTCCCCTGTGACGCTATGGGTAAGTACACATCATCAAAAAACCCGAGGCTGAATTGACTCGGTCTTTGCAGGTTAGTCTAAGCTGCGAAGATTGAACCAATAAGCAAACAAACAGACATTTACTTTTGATTCAGGAAATGCAGCCACATGCCTCCAGTGGCTCAAGCCAGAAGCTGGGGGGCGCTGGAGCATAACTCTGGCACATAGCTGGGTTGTGTTGGGCATGGGTTATAAGTTCGCTTCCTCTTCCTGCTGTCCCCAAAGTCTCTGGGATCTGTGGTCCAGTTTCACAGCAGCAGGACTCTGCAGAGTTGTACATTATTTAATCTTCCTGCTTCTAGGTGCCTCTGGGATTTGTAGTCCATGATCGCAGCCATCAGGGCAGGGCAGATCAGTACTCAGGGGAAGGGAAGTTTAACCCCCCACCCTGGCCCCAGCAGGGGTTTGCTGGGGGCAGGGGCAGTGCACTGGCTAGTAGCCAGCCCTCACTGCTCTAGCTAGGGAGCAGAGGGGTGGGGCCAGCTCTGCTCTCTAGAGCAGACAGCACAGCACAGCACAGCACAGCACGCTAGGGGACTCTGATTTAACTTGAACTAGGAAGAGGTCTGGGACAGAAGTTTCATAAACCAGTTTGAACTAAATCAATTAAGTAAGATACTACATTCAACCAGGTTCATCTTAAACCAGTTTTGAAACTGGTTTATGTGCACTGTACTCCTGTCCCGTTACAGGTTTAAACCAGTTTCTGATCACTTAAACGAATGTGTACGTAGCTTCTGTCCCTAGCCTATTTGGCTGACAGACCAAAGAGAACATTCCTAATCTACATGGGCAGGTTAAGCAAGAGTTGCTTAACTGTCCTGAAAGAACAGACTAGGAAAGTGACCAAGAACTATCAGTACAAGGATAGCTGAAAAATAAATGAATAAATAAAGTATTGTGTTAGTGCAGCATGGACCATTTGCAGTAGGCGTATCACAAATTAGCCTCACACTAAGTGCTACACTGATCTACTTCCTCTGCCTGATCTTTTGCTTTCCTTCTGCTGCTATGTTGCTTGTCTCTTCCCTGATCTGTTATGCCACATGCAGACACTTTGCGACTTACAGCATGTATGTAAGCCACCCATGTGCTAGTAGAATATTCACCAAAGAAGTGCATGGTGGACTGGCTATAATGGGCTGAAAGCCACAATGTAATGCACAAGTACTGTCAAATTTACTCCCTGGCTGTGAAAATCAGAGCAAAAGAACTTCTCCCTAGGGGGAAACAAGTTAGGCTAACAATTCTTAACACTCTAGTGCAGGGCAGGCAAAAATATGGCCTGGGAGTCGGATCCGGCTCACGAGGGGATTTCATCTGGTCTGCGGACGGGTGCCTACCAATTCACTGTGTCCGGCCTTGCCCCAGGCTGCCCCTGCTGTGCTTGCATGGGGCCGAGCACATGCTGCACTCCCACCCTCACTTATGAGGCCAGGGTCAGGACCGTCCCACAGGTAGGGAAGCGACAGCAGGCAGGGGAAGGGCGGCTGTGACGGGCAGGCGGGAGAAGTGGTGGCAGCTGGGCAGGAGTGTGGGGCCTGTACCAACACCCCATAGCCAGCAGAGACCCATGGCAGGGTGGCAGGACCGCAGAGCCTGGGCTGGCAAGGGCATGGGTTCTGCCTGGCTCCATCGCGTGGGGCTCATATGAATTTCCTGGTACTCTGCCCGAGCCACACACCTCTGCTGGGAGCTTTTCGTGATGGAGCCCAAGGCCTGGTCCCACTCACTGCTACGCGTAGGTCATGGGGAATGGCAGGTAGCTCTACACGATGGAACTGGACTGGTTCCACCCCTCTCCCTGCCGCCCCAGCTGAGCCCCATGACCTCCACCGCCATTTTCATTGTGTGGGGCTCCTCCCAGAAGCATGAGGCTCAGGCATGTGAACCCCGTGCCTAGCCATGTGCAGTCTGAAGCTCTCTGGGATTGCATGCTGCCAGGGGGTTTTGCCTGCTGCTGCCGCTGGCAACAGGGGCCATGCGCAATACAGGGGTTTGTTTGTAGGGCCCCCCCTACACACCCCCCACATACTCCACAGTCACCCACACTTTCCTCCACACTCCATACCCACCCACACCCCATCCCATAAACCAAACATACATACAGCCACACCCTCCCCACCATACACACTATACATGAGTAGACTTTATTTTGAGCTCTTATGCAATCACCTCTACATACATGATGAAAACGCACACAAATACTTTTTTGCAATAAAATTAAAATATGTTATTGTAGATGGTTGATTTTTAGCTTATAAATTGTTTTTTCAGTTCCAAGACAGCAAACACCCTTCCCAAAAGGAGTACTTCCAGGGCAAGGGGAGGGACTTCTGGTCCCAAGATGGCACCCAGGGGATGGGGCACCTGTCAAGGGGCAGGGCTACCCTTGCAGCCCTCAACAGAGCACCAAAACTCGTTAAGCAGCCCTGCAGTTGAAATAATTACCCACCCCGATTTTAGCAAGTGTTGATCCTTAAGCAAAGTTCAGAACAGAATTAGCTCTGGAGAGTGCTATTGCAAGATACTTATAGAAGAAGGGGTGAAAAAGGAAGTTAGTGAAGAAATAAATCTAGTTTAGAAGGAGTAGCTTTTATACCCAGCAGATCAGAAAAAAAAAGAGAGTCATACTTTCTTATCTCTCTGTTTCATCTTCATGGTTTTCTGCTCCAGTGAATAACCCAATTCTTTTGCTGTTCTTGTCAGTTTTTCATCAATGTCTTTCAAAACAGAATTTTTCTTTTTCTCCGTCACTTCCTTTAGCTTTTTTGACAAATATAATCTGAAACAAAGGAAAATCCATTACACAATACATTCTTTATTAAATTAAAAAGATAGCCTCCTATTTGGTCTTATAATTAAAAAGGTTACATATACATATACAACATATAAAAGCCCTACTTTAGAAGTTTAGGTGCAATGATCCACTTAAGTACCAGAAATTAGGTTTCTTGTTCAACTTTGTGCTTGTGCAAAAGTGGTGGAAGGTGCTCATCAATTGAGGCAACTGTTCAATTTCTTTTTATTTTTTAAGCCTCTGGATTCATGCCTTTATTGCACCTTACCCAAATCCTGCACAAATACAAATATATATATTTGATCCTTATACTTTGCATCAAATGAGACTCGGCTTTTCTAGGAAAAGGTAATGAGTAATTGCAAAACAACTCCTATCATTATGCTTGCAAACAAAGAGCTAAATCAGATTTGGTTGCATGGAACACATCAGTTTTCAACCCAAGTCATTAATGGATGCAACTTCTAAGAACTACAAGTTAAAAAAAGAACACTTCTATGCCATGTTATGTATTGCCTCACTATGTTTAATCCCATAAAAGAGAAGAATTTAAAAGACTGGGATCTGCATAATTTTGTTGTCTACAAATCTACTTATCTATTATTATTTTCAATCTTATAATAAGTACTGCTGTTGTATATAGTGCTTCTTATGTTCATGCAGCCAGGTTCTTCAAGAAGTAGAAATTGAAATGGAACTAGTGCTTCCCTAAAAGAGTTGTGCTAACCATTAAAATGTGCTTTAATTGAAAGAGAAGAAAGATTTAAAAAGATAACAAGTTTGAACAAACATACAAAGAGAAAAATCAAACTCATCACTAAGAGAAAACGCTAACATAAAAAAATAAACTCCACAAGCTGCAGTGGGTACTTTACAGACAAAGGTGGCACTGCACGAGAATTATAACACTAAAGAAATAGAACTAGCATGTCTGGAGAGTATCAGAAGGGAGGATCAGCCTAAGCATTTTCTGATTACGGGGTAGCACATTTGCAAGACTACAATATTTACTACAGATGCATCTTCTAACCTATAACTGGAATTCACCAACATTTTGGAGAAAGCACACACAAGTGCAAGACCACCAGGTATACCTGAAGTTTGATGAAGCATGTATTGCATTAAAAGTTACATGTCTGAGATTCTAAAGAAAAGAGTCCTATAGTATAGTAAAATTCTTGTCATTCTGTAGAGAAGGATGCAAATTGACAAGAAGACAACTTTCCCTATGACTCATCTGAAAGATATCCACAGTTCTAGCTTGTTTATTCATTGATAGTAGAGCACATTAAATCTTATGGTTTGCACATTTAATCCTCCAAGATATATGAAAGAAAATTCTGTCCCAACTGAGAAATGGTATTTTATTGTTTATTATATTATGGAATGCAAGATTCACTTATGTAGACAAAAATAAAAGGTTAAGCTAGATCAGTGGTTCTCAACTAGGGCCTGCAGAGCCATCACTGCCATAGCCAGGTGGAACTGTCTGGCATATCTTTTTTTTCAGACCAGGACACAGCTGCAGTAGGAACTGAAGCCCTTCCCGGTCTACCAGGAAGCCCTCTACTGAAGCCCTTCCCATTTCCCCTCTTGAAAACAGGCACAGGGAACAATTTTCCCTGATTCTAGGTGTGTAACCAGGGCACGAGACCCAGGTGTTGACTGGAAGAGTACTGGAATGGAAGCCAGTGGGGTGGGGGAAGACTAGTGACTTTAGGGGCCAGACAGATGGATCAGAGATTGGATTCCCCTCTAGTCTGGCTCCCCCCACTCCATCCCCTGCTATCAGGCAGCACTTTGCCTCTTTCCAAGCCACATCTAACCAGTGGCAGACCAACCCGGGGGGGGGGCGCAGAAGGGGCCCATGGCCCTGGGGTGCCAGCCCTTCAGAGTTCTTACCGCGTGACGTGACTAAGTATTGCTATGAGAAGGAGCAGGGGCACAAACGGAAACATTGGTCCCTGGGCACCGGAGACCCATGGTATGTCACTGTGTCTAACCTAAGATTTTTACAGCCACAATTTGCCAGCACCCATGAGAGGAA